CCAGCACATTCCCCCTGATTAAAAGATACAGTGAATTCCAAACAGGCTTTTTATTTAACAGGCTGAAATGCGCTTCGCACACTATGATTTTGAGAGAGATTAAAAGTTGAAGTACATTCAGTGCTTGATACTTAGACATTTTGAAATGTAGTGTGTAGTTTCTCTCTGAAAGTGCAAATCAAGTTTTAGTTTATGACTTGATTAGATAAAATGTATTCTCACACAAAAAAATTTTTGTACTCTTCTCCAAGAAATACAATTTTTGTTTTTAAATATAAAAGAAGGCATTATCGAATACTACTTCATATCCTATAAAGGTAACGGTGAAGCACCAACTACTCCATTTTTATAATTCTCTCTCATATCATAAAAAGCAGAGAAACAAGGCCTTCTCCTAGGAGGCACAGAACATGAAATCTAAGGGTTTTTTCTTTGATGCTTATTCTTGGAGTTTCAACCAATCCCTCCAGGAAAAGTCTCCCTTCCTCTCTAATGTGCTTCACAGTTGAGCCAAAACTTTCTCCCTAGTCAACTGCTCTGATATCTTCCTCCCGAGACCAAAAGCCTTCAGGCTCTCCCCGCTCAGAGAGTAAGACTCAGTCTCCCTCAATCCTCCTTGAGCTGTCCTCAGTCCTCCGTCCCCAGCCTCCCCGCCAGCCCTGACGGCAATGCACCAATGTCCCTTTTTTTTTTCCAGAACTTGGCCTTTCTGTTTCCCCTGGCTTCTCTGCTCTTGCCCTACCTTCTGCCTGAAACGGATTCTTTCCTCGCTCACCCACCAACTGTTATCAAGAATGGGCTCCTTCTAGGCCAATTCAAACTCCCCACTTCCTAAACTTAAATCCATTCCTTCTGCTCTATGTTTTCTTCTTCCTTTTATTTAGCACTTCATAGCCCAGGTCTTGCATAGGCACAAAGGTCACATTGGTGGCTACCAGAGGGGAGGGGAGGGGAGGGGGGCAATGGGCAAAATGGGTAAAGGGGAGTGTGAGGTCACAGCTTCCAGTCGCAGAAGGAGTAAGTCCTAGGGATGAAGGGACAGTATAGGGATACAGCCAATGCTACAGTAACAGCGCTGTATGGTGCCAGATGGCGGCATACCCCGGAGACCAGTCGTATCACTGTATTGCACACAAATACAACATCCTGTGTCAAATATACTTCAACAAAGACAAAAAAAAGTATTTTGGGTCTTGTGCATTCATTCCACAGGCATCACCCAAGATATGCAAGTCTTTGACTCTGCGTCTCACCCACCCACACCCTATGACAGCAAGATGAGCAGCTGCACAAGCGCATCTTGGTCACCACTTCTGGTGTGACGTCTCCTTAGTAGGTACACACTACGGAGGTATAACATCCCCTTAGGAGCCCAGGCTCTGGCGTGAGGCTGCCTAATCCAAATCCAGCCTCTACTACTTTCCAGCAACAGGATCCGTCCTGTACCTCAGTTTCCTCATTTGTAAATAATAATAATAATAATAAAGACTGTCACATTAGGTTTTCAGATAATTAATGATTAAAACAAAAATATTTTACATGTATTTATTATTGAGAGACAGAGAGAGACAGAGCATGAAAGGGGAGCAGCAGAGAGAGAAGGAGACACAGAATCCAAAGCAGGCTCCAGGCTCTGAGCTGTCAGCACAGAGCCCGACGCAGGCCCTGAACCCACGAGCCGTGAGATCATGACTTGAGCCGAAGTTGGACGTTCAACGACTGAGCCACCCAGGCGCCCCAGTGATTTAATATATGATCAATGCACAGCACCAAGCTTGTTAGCTAAGCATTATTCAATAGATATGAAATAAAGGGGAAAAAAACCAGATCTAAATAAATGGTAAAAATAAGTCTCTAAAACACAAGTTAGAAATACTCAAAAACTGAATAATCGGTGAATTACTGAACAACTTAAAATCTGCCTGTTATAGAACCTGAGGGTTATGGCATTTGTTTTCTATCATGTTTATATCTCCAGTTTAGGTAGGGTACGAATTTGTTTGGAAAGCACATGGAGCAGGTGGACCACTGAGTTTCAGGGAGAGCCTAAAGGGATCCTCTGTAAGATCTGACCACTTGCTCAATTTGTCGGTTAGACAATCAGAAATGAGTCTGAACTGACCCAGCCATGCTGAAGAGCAGCTTCTGAAATATATTCAGCTCAGTGTTCCCGGGCCCCTAAGTCCTTCACCGGATTGTGGCTCAGGCCACGCTGCCTTTACACTTTATGTGGTGGAGAATTGTCAGATTGGGGCTTATTTCTCAGGGTGCCAGAGTCCCTTTATGTTAGAATCAGAGTTTAAATCACAGCAAGCCCTCCCTGGCTTGAACCTCCCCTCTGGTTTCCCATCGACACTAAGAGCCAAAGTCCTTCAAACTTCTGGACTGTCGGAGTCTTACCTCTCTCCCACACCACTCTACCTCCAGTCTTATCTTGTTCCACGTTTGTGATTCTCCCCTAGCCTACTCCACGCCACCCACACTGTCCACCCTGATCTTTCTGGAAGCTGACAGTCAGGGGACTGACCTAAGAGCCTTTGGACTTGGAAGATTTCCTCCCCAGAAGAGTTTCCCCAGATAGTCACATGGCTTTCTTTCTCACTTCCTTAAAGTTCCCATTCAAATGTCCCCCCGCCTGCCAGCCTGCGGAAAACTGCACCCCTTCCCAAAAACATATCTTCAGAGCCCCCTTCCCCTGCTTTGCTCTCTACATGGCACCTTTCACCACCTAACATGCTGTCTTGCTTTTGGCTCGTTTCTTTCTTCTGTATACAGACTCCTGCAACCAAAATGCAACTTCCAAGGGAGAAGATGCCTTCACTGAAGTCATGCTAGAGCACTACCACCTCCCACAATGCCTGGCACAAACTGAACATTTGAGAACCATTCCTCAAACAAACGAGTAGATCGTGGACAGCTTATAGGCAACCAGGATAAAGTTAAGGGGCTGAGGGGGATCCTTGCATTTAAACAAATTCTTTCGTAAATCATTCTACCTTGCATCTTGAAGGGCGTGGCTTGAAAACTGCATTACTTTCGGTCAGTGGTTCCCTTCGTCCCTCTTCAGAACATTTGGGCAATGTCTGTAGACATCTGTAATTGTCATGCCAGTGACGGGTGGATTCGTGCTCCTGCCATCTAGGGGGTGGTGGTCAGGGAGTCTACAATGTACAGGACAGCCCTCTGGGACAGCGCATGACCTATCCAGAAACGTCAAAGGTGCTGAGGTTGAGAAGCCCCAAACCTGGATTAGGCAGAGGTAATTTCTTAGATCTAACCTAAGAGCATGGGGACACTGAACATTACAAGGGAGGACAGGAGGGAAGAAAGGGGGTCAATTTGTTTGGTATTAGAGAAAGACTAACTATACAAAATTTTTACATGTGAAACAGAGGGAGGTTAAAGATGACACCATGTAGTGTTTACCCAAGCAAGGAATAAAATATGTTACTGTGGATTTACCTATAAAAACAAGAAAAGAGGGACACCTGGGTGGCTCAGTTGGTGAAGCGTCCGACTTTGGCTCAGGTCATGATCTCACAGTCCATGAGTTTGAGCCCTAAATTGAGCTCTATGCTGACAGCTCACAGCCTGGAGCCTGCTTTGGATTCTGTGTCTTCCGCTCTCACTGCCCCCACCACCCCACACACACACTCTGTCTCTCTCAAAAATAAATAAACATTAAAAAATAAAATAAATAAAAAAACAAAGAAAGAAATGTCTCTATCCTGCCCAAGATAATTGAGAAGAAAAGGAAACTGAATTGTAAAGGCGGGTCTGAATTCTTGTCCATTTAGATCTCTCTAAAATTGTGTCCCAGGCTCTTGTTACATGTATTCTTGCAGGACTAGCGGATAAAGTTGTAATAAAATAGGAGAAAAGTCTCAAATTGCCATCCCCTCCCTGGAAGTCAGTGTAGTCTGCTGCTGCTGGCTCTGAGCAGTTGGTAGGAGCCAAATCTACAAGAGAGCTGTGCTCCACCCCTTCTCTTAGAGAAACATCAGGGAGAAGAGAACTTGGCGAGAAATTAACCAGACGATCAAAACTAGAAGAGATATTGAGGCACGCAGCATTTCTCCCCCTGTAAGCATCATGTGAGCTAGTCTAATCTCATGGTTAGACTCCAGACCTCTCCTCCTACAAAAATGCACTCATAGCTTTGAAGAAATAAGCCTTTGGGAAGAAATAAATAAGGTCTTATGGACTAGTAAGTCCATAACATCTCTACAGGAAAACATGAATGGTTGGATGAAAAACTAAAATTCTCTCTTCTGGAAGAATACATTTGGTATAAACATTAATGTCCAATTAATAGGTGAATTCAGATGTCAGTTTCCCACCTTTGCTTCCGTAAAGGCATTATTTGGTGTTTTCTCAACTCTGACTTTTTGGGTTATTTTTTCATTCATCTCTACATTTATTCTGGTAGATTATCTTTTAACTAGACTACCGAAATAGCACTTTTTTTTTCCCCAAGAGAAGCTCTCTATTTTCTTCCACAAAGAATTTTTTGAAACTGAAAGCAAACCTAACTACTATAAAGACAAATAGAACTTTTGAGACAATGGTCCTGAGTAAAGGGAAGAACAACTTTGCAGTTACCAGCAATTAATCTTTGAAGAAATGGCAGTGAGGAGGTAATAAAGAAATATGTGTATGTTTTTCATTAACAAATGGAAAATCAGTCATAGTTCTGGATTCCTTGAGACCAAACAGAAACTTCAATCTTAACATGGAAAGACTGAGAATGAATTGAAAGACCAGTCAAAAGGTTTCCATCGGTTAATGGAATATGCGACAGACACAGGGAAAATTATGTTAGTTTATACCTCAAACTACTTAAAAATACAAGAAAAGGATAAGGAATAAAATAGCTGTTTCCTGCTATGGCTGGGAGAATTTCCCCCCCCCAGATTGACAAAGATAATACAACTCTAGACCATAGACACTTGTCAACCGTAAAATGACTTATGAACTGTGAATTCACAACGGTAACTTACAGACAGCAAGGGAATGGCAACTTTTCCAAGAAAATCAGGAGGTTTATCTCCATCTTCATCAAACACTGTCACTTCCAAAACGTCATGGATATCTTTAATAGGACTGAAACAAGAAATGTACCATGTATTATATACAAAAACACACAAGTGGAGTCTGTTCCATGAAGATCTGAAAACACAGTTTCACTAATTAAGCCTGTATGCCCTTAGAGTATAAAACTACCATTTAATTAAATTCCAAAAATTAAATCAAACTGAACTCTATTCCCAAACCTTCCATCACAGAAGATTCAGACATCCATATGAGGGGGAAAAAAAGTCAACTTTTTTACTATGACATTTTTCATGTATATGTGCACTCAAGGGTAAGACTATTAAAGAAACAGAAGGATAAGGAATAAAAGAATAAAGGGGTAAAAGAATGGTTATTTCAAAGTAGCTTCCAAATAGGCAGTAAGACTGTCTTTAAATTAATGAAGAAAAAAGATAAATTAATGAAGAGTTCCCTTAAAAAAAAAAGGTGGTCAAAATTGCGTTTGCTGAGATTTACAGAAAGTTTCCTAGTGTTGAAACACACAATACTGAAAATCCCATGCATATTTAGAAACATTTTTTATGTTGACCAGAAACCAGACATCACCTATAATGAAAAATGGAGCCATGGTCATTAGCAACATATTGAGCAAACAAGAAATTCTTTCGGATGACAATTTGCAAACCTGCTTAGGAGAGCTAACTCATTTCTCATAGAGCCTTGGGGACTTTCACTAGTATTTTATAGTTTTCAGAGTACAGATCTTTTACCTCTTTAGTTAAGTTTATTCCTAGGTATTTTATTATTTTTGGTATAATTATAAATGGGATTTTCTTATTAATTTGCCTTTCTGCTGGTCCATTATTCGTGTATAGAAATGCAACAGACTTCTGTATATTGATTTTTATCCTACAACATTACTGCATTCATTTATCAGTGCTAGTACTTTTCTGGCAGAATCTTTAGGGTTTTCTCTATAGAGCATCATGTCATCTGCAACAGTGAACATTTTACTTCTTCTTTACTAATTTGATGCCTTTTATTTCTTTTTCTTGTCTGATTGCTGTGGCTAGGACTTCCAATACTATGTTAGATAAAAGCAGTAAGACTGGATATCCTTTTTTTGTTCTCGACCTTAGGGGAAAAGCTCTCCTTTTTTCCCAGTAAGTATGATGCTATGAGTAAACCTACTTTGTTGAGGGCTTTTATTGTGAATGGATATTGTACTTTGTCAAATGCTTTTACTGCATCTATTGAAATGACCACATGGTTTTTATCCTCTTATTGATGTGATATATCACAATGATTGATTTGTAAATATTGAACCATCCTTGCATCCTGGGAATAAACTGCACTTGATTTCTGTGAATGATTTTTAAAAAATGTATTGTTGGATTCTTTTGCTAATATATTATTGAGGATTTTTGTATCTATGTTCATCAGAGGTATTAGCTTATAGTTCTCCTTTTCTGTGGCATCTCTATCTGGTTTTGGGATCAGGGTAATGTTGGCCTTATAGAATGAATTCGGGAATTTTTCTTTCTCTACTATTTTTTGGAAAATTTGAGAAGAATAGGTATTAACTCTTCTTTAATTGTTTGGTAGGATTTACCTGTGTAACCACCTGGTATTGGACTGTTTTGTATGCTGGGGGTTTTGTGATTATGGATTCAAGTTTGATCCTTGGGGACACTCTACTTGGAAATCATCAACTCCATCCAAAATGTATTCTTTCAGTTACAAGCCCAATATGTCTTCAGTGCTGTAAGGGCAGTGAACTACCATTTGACCCAATTCAACAGGTGCTTCCTCTTGATAGCCAGGCACCTCAGAATCTAAAGCAAAGTGGGAAATATATCCAGCCTTCTAAATGCCTGAATTTGAAAGAGGAGACAGGGCATCACTGTGGAAGAGGTCATTCAGACAAGCTGGAATACAAGGAGGGACTTGTATACTTGTATGTCCCAATACTTTGGGACTCTTTGAGGAATCACAGATAATCTGTATTTTCCAAAAGACTGCATAATACATGCATTACAATAATGTTGTAACTTATAAACTTGAATTTAAGGCAGATCTACGTTTGGAATAGGCTTTAACTCAGGAATGGATTTGTCTGGATATATGGAAGCTTCCATCTAACAGATTGAGTTCCTGAAAGATCTACTTTACAAATGCCTCCTATAACACTCCCTTGCAGTTCCAAATGGCCTTTTCTATTATTAGCACTCTAGTCTATAAAATGAAAGGATAAAAGGTTTTCAGAAGGAAGAAACAATAAAATTCATTCTTTGCACATAAAACTGGACAGAAAGTTCCACTCAACAACCCCAGCCTTCCCCAAACATATCAAGGGTAACTGGTCTCTCAGTTAAAACTGCTCCTTGATATTCTGGAGGCTAAAGCACTTACAATGTAAAAACTTTGTTCCACTCGGGGTTGAGGTTTTTGTAAATGGTGTGTGTCTGAAGTCGGTCATTGCCTAACTCCAATAAGCAAAAAGGATCGCTCTTCCCTGGAAAGAGAACACAAGACATTGGTCAAGGCCAAGGAATCTCCTTGGTCAGAGATAAATGAATCGCAAAAGTAACAGAGGCCAAGTGAATAAAAGCCGTGCACTTTATACCAGTAAGACTGTGCTCGCTGAAAGGGCAAAAGTGAGCATCTCTTTCCAGCAAGTCTTGGGTAGGAATTCAGGACACAGAATCTACACATGCCGGAGGGTGAGCATATCTAATAGACAGGGACTCGTATGCAACCCAGATGCAGGACTGAGAGCCCGTGACCACACAGGTCGCATAGCAGCAGGTGTCCATGTGGCATGTGAGGGATTCCAGTTTTGTGTTTTGTTTTAAAACAGAAGCCCTTCTGGACTCAAGGAGAACTTAGTCAGGAAACAGAAAGGAGCTTCTATTTTAGGGACATCTGCATGGCTCAGTCGGTTGAACATCCGACATCGGCTCCGGTTATGAATTCACATGAGTTCAAGCCCCACACTAGGCTCACTGCTGTCAGTGCAGAGCCTGTTTCAGATCCTCTGTCCCCCTCCCTCTGCTCCTACCCCACTAATGCTCTCTCAAAAATAAACAAACATTTAAATAGATAGATACATAGATAATTATCTTGCTATAGCTGGAAGCCAAGGATAACCTATAGGCTTCTGAATAGTCATGAGAGAAAGGAGAAAAAGTATAAACATTGCTATTTAGGAGTTAAACGTTCTCGCCAGGAGTGGCCATGAGCACTTATGTTCTTATATATTTAGTACATTATGAGAATACATTTGCTGCATTTTTGCTGCTCATAAACATGCAAAAGTTTTTGCATCTCAAAAAAAAATGAAGCTTAACCCTTACTTCTCTCATCTTACCTCTTCATTTTTCCCTCCCACCTTACACATCTTCCAAAAGAAAAAAAAATGGTTAGAACATCCAAAATCCAAAGCTGGACCCAGAAAGCTTCTGAAGGAAGGAAGGAAGGAAGGAAGGAAGGAAGGAAGGAAGGAAGGAAGGAAGAAAGAAAGAAAGAAAGAAAGAAAGAAAGAAAGAAAGAAAGAAAGAAAGAAA